ATGCGTAATTTATATGGCAAATTTGGAAAGAATTGGATGAAAAATTAGGGAGTTATGACCGAAAAATGGGTTTTTTAAAGTTTTTTGTGGTTTTTCGTTATACGCTCGGAAGCGAGCAAGACTAAAACCACACTATCTTATTTCTTGTATGATGGCAAATTTTGGGCGACATTTTTTAAGAAAATCAGATAAAAAATGAGGAAGTAATTCAAGTTTATATTTTAAGTAGTACGAAAAACCCGATTTTTTCACAGTTTTTGCATTTTCTCTGTGAAGTCAATGTCACAGAAAAACTATCAAGCACTCTACATAAACCTCTGTAACATGAGCTATGTTTTATCATTCAGTAAAAATTTGTTCGCGTGTAAGTTTGCTTTGGTTTTGGCAAAAAGTCGTACTCATCTTTAGTTTTATCGATTTTTCTGCCAAACCCGGATGTGAGGGTTGATGGTAGTGGGGGTCTGAAGATTGAAAAGTTGTTCTTGTAAATTTGCAACATGTATGCACAATTTCATCGAAATAGCATACACACAGACAGCCACACAAACAAACATACATCTGTTTTATAGATATAGATATGTCATGTCAACCAAAGACAGTATATACAGTATTCGACGTCCTGGAACGTGCGCTGCGGAAACGGAGACATTAATGCCTATTTAATGTCTTCAAATGGAAGATAACTTCCATGATTACGCGTTCGTGCCTTACGCGTGCGTATCTCAAAGACAGCCAGCTCTGAAGTCCTGTTCATTGGTAAAGGGTAAACTAGAAAAGGAAAATAAATACACATATAAGTCCAATTTACTCTGAATATCACACAAACAAAAGCTTAACACAAAATATGACCGGAGGCTTGAACATAGAATTAAGACCATTTGTATAAAAATGCAAAAAATGTAGTGAACACTTTGTGTACATGAATATATATAAAATTTGCTACAAGAATACTTTTCAATATTGCAATGAGTTCCCCGAAAGGAAATTACATGAAGATTAAATATTGCAACAGTGTGGGGACAGTCGATACATGGGGGAAAAGATTCTATATAGAGAGATACAAACGTAAAATAAGTCTATAATTAAAAACAAAACAAATAATAGTACTGTAATAAAATAGACCAATGTAGAAAAAAAAGGTATTAAAAGTTACAAACCGGTGATGGTAACGTTGGTGTGAGATTAAGAGGATAAGAAAACTAAGAACCTTATGCTCATGTTTTTACTGTGAGGGTTCCGGTGATAACTAAGGGCTGACCGGAAAAGGTAAAAAGCGGTGACAAATTTAAAAAGTATCTAAACTAAAAAAAGGGACAAATTGAAGTAAAACAATACAGTTTCTGTAATATGATAGCAGAACTGAAGTGGTACATATTTTTATGAGTTTAAACTTGATCGAAATGATTCTGAAACTGATCGTAACATTAGTCAATTATGAATCGATGGGATTTCTTCAGAAAGTACAGTATGCCGTTGGTTCCTGAATTTGCGAGGTAGAGCATCGAAGCCCAAGAGAGAGAAGAAACAAAAATGAATAAAATAGAAGAGAATTGACGCTAAGCTATTCAAGAAATGCTTCCGAAATTATATTCCACTAATGTTTTCAAAACAATTAGAAAGACTCTTGTGCAAAATCAGAAAAATAGTCGTTTGCAAAGTTTCTCAGTGTTTCTTTGGCGAAATAAAATTGATCCAGTAGTTTCATTTGTTATACTAATCTTGTTCTTATTCATTCCTAGAAACAAAAAAAAAATGAGCAGAGTTACAGCTGAGAATACCCAACGACTTCAAATAAAGAATTCAAAGCAGAGTCAGTTTTTAATACCTGAGGGATACTAAAAGGGAAATACCGAACAAATTTGATAAATTTCTGGAACTACTTGCTTTTACGTGAGGCTATACGTAAATTGTGACCATATATCACCCGCCCAGCAGTTTATTTAGGGTAGGTAAATCGCCCATCTTTGTTTATCACTTCAAGTAACTAGTGTGTTCAACTTGGCTTCCTGTAGGTAAACCTGACGCCAATTCGAATCTCATCCTTTAATTCCGATCTTTTGCAATCAACTTACACTTATAGGTGCTAAAAATTCCAAGAAAAAGCGCTTAAAATTTAAGAGGAAAATAAATATTCCTGACAATCACTAATAATCGTTGCCAATAGAAATAAAATAAATATCATACTATTGCTGCTAAAGTAAGAGAAAAGTGATCAAGTAGACACTAGTGAAAAATAATAATTCAGAATATTATTAAATTTAATACATCGACTGTAGAAACAAGATGGCGGTCTATGGCTTTTGGAACAGAAAATAACTGTTTATGAAGTTTTTTGTATTTTTTTGTAAATCATGTATCCAAAGTTAAAGTCACCAAGGGCGGTTACTGGGAGTGAAAGAAACTGAGAAAACGTGGTTGAGGAGAGAGAGAGAGAGAGAGAGAGAGAGAGAGAGAGAGAGAGCAATAAAAGACCAAGATTCAAGGAAACAAAGATAACGATTGACATTGCATTTAAATTTTTGAACATCAAAGTTGACTGGAAAAAAAGTGAGAAGCGTAATAGAAGGAACTGTTAGCATAGAACTTACGTTACATCTAGCAATTCTAACTGTAAAATGATGAGACCTGACTGTCAATCTAGTACTGCGCTTAAATTCGTAATGTCGAAGTACCAAAGAGGAAAGCTCATCAGAACAATTGCCATGAAAATATCGTAGAAAACGCATATAGAAGCTACGTTATGGCGGCGGAAAAATGGATTTTATCAAGGATCTCTAAGCACATAGCAAAAGTACCATACCAAGTTTAACAGCAATATTCGATGTATGAAGGAATGGTAGATTTAAAAAAACGTAATATAAATTCTGGTTGAAAAAATTGCCAAGCACGACACAGTGAAACAAGGTTCCTAACAGCAGATCTTGCAATTGATTCAATAGAATCGTTCAACTTCGTGTGGAAAACTTTATCCCGGAAATGCACAATGAATTACTCCTTTAGAGGTTAGCATCGACAATACTGATTGAAGACAACATTTTCCTCTCAGAGGATTGAAAGAGAATAGTTTCGTTTTGGAGACATAAAATTAAAAAGCCATTTCTTGCCTCAGAAAACAACAGATTTAGTAGTTTTTGAGATAAATTACCAATTTTATCTCATCAAACATATCAGGCTTACCATTAAGATAGGAGTAATAGTTGTATCATCAGCATGGATAACGAATCATGAAGTAATGTCATTGGGAAGGTCGTTACTCAAAATGAAGGTTAGAGCTCTAGGTGACAGCTGAATTAATGTACAAAGATCTATATAGAAGTGTGGCCGTTCAAGACATTTTTCATTTGATAAGAAATATTGACGCAAATCAAACTCTGTTCAGAAATAAAAACTTACAAATTTTGAAGACCAGCATGCCAAACTCTGTCAAACGCCTTCGAGATATCCAAAGCTAGAGCCTAAGCTTCCCGCTTCTTGTCTAAAGCTCTTTCAGAATTTACCGTTAACACATCTTTAGTTGCCCGAGAGGAGCGAAAGCTATATTGTTTATACGAAAGAAAACTACAACGTAAGATGCTTAACCAATCTCGAGCTGATTAGATCATCTAGAACTTTGATGGAAGGTTCAGATGGTTCGCCTGAGTTCTTAAAAATCGGAACTATAGAAGAAGGTTTCCAACACGCAGGAAATTAAAAATCAGCAAGGCATTTATTGTAGAGTTTAGAAAGACCAGGAGACATTTCAGGGGCACATTTCTATTGTAGGGATACCATCAAGGTCTCACGTCAGGTAGGGACCTAGGTTAGGAATGATAGTAAAAAAACATGAACAGAGTTATATGTATGTCCCACAGTAGGGACGCAGTTATTGAATTAGACAGTCAGGCAAAAATACTCCACAAAATTTCAAAGTCAGAAACTATGATCTAGAACGAGAATGAAAGCAGTGATCGGATATGACTCTCCACAAAAAAAAAAAAAAAAATCAGAGAATGAATAAATACTAAACCCTTCAAATATATCGGTGTGTGACAAATTTAGCATAGGAGATACGTAAATTGAACATTAGTTTTGTCCAACATCGCAAATTGAATACCATGCAAAACATTAACCCAAGAAGCGAATTCATATTCTTAAAATGTCTCATCAGATGTAGACTCATATGCATGGCGTCTATGTCATTTTTTCAGGTTTTGAATAAATGAACTCTGTATGTCTTAGAGGAACATCCTTCATCAAATCCTGTAGACTGGCGTTACACAATCACAAAGAACTTTATCACATAACAGAAACTACATCAATTGAAAATTTTCAATTTTAGCAAGAACTAAAAGGAATAAATTATGACATAATAAAGATTTTGATTTTCATCAACTTTAAACCAAAGATTAGCAAGGAAACCCCCATCAAAAGTGGTCAATAAATAATTGATAGAACAGGGATTAAGCGAAAAAGCCAAAAGAAAACATTTCAGAAGAGCTACAAATTACAGTAAAGTGTGGAGATCCGTTATTGTCTAATTCTTGAAAGGACCAATGTACATCGACATGTATTTACGTACGGCTACTAAGAGAAAGACAGAATTAGAACTCAGGGAACCAATAATCTTTTTTATGAAAATACTGCACCATTTTATGAAGGTGATTTGAGTATCCGCGGGTTTTGTTATCCGCGAGGGACGACAATCGTGTGAAGTGAACTTATCCTCGGCCTGAATTCATTTCCGGTTTGTCGAGTTTGATCTCTCTGCTGATAATTATTAAGTAAAAAATTCCACTCGGAGAAGATAGGAAGACGGGATTCATTTGGAGAAGTGGGGATTATCTGTTAATCGCCATGATGTATTTAGTTACAATTGGACAAAGTGCAGGGCAACCGGAAATTATTAACGAAAAATGACCAAATTAACAGGCAGGTAGAAAAATTAAAGAAAATGATCGCGGACAGATCAGAAGACTTGATCAAATTTCACCAGAAAATTGTTTGTTTTTTCGAAGAATCAGGTCATCGAACGTAACCTTAGATTCAAGTGTATATATCTGTTTGAACCTGAATATTATCTATTTCAATCACTTTCTTTCTTTCTTTCTTTCTTCTTTGTATCTATCTTTCTATCTCAATACCGTTTTTCTTTCTTTCTTTCTTTCTTTCTTTCTTTCTTTCTTTCTTAGTATCTATCTATCTATCTATCTATCTATCTATCTATCTATCTCAATCTCGTTTTTTCTATCTTTCATTCTCAGTATCTACCTATATATTTCAATCTCTTTCTTTCTCAGTATCTATCTAAATCTTTCTTTCTTTCTTTCTTTCTTTCACAGTATCTATATTTACAGAATGCGATGGGTAAATTTTCGTTTAAATTACGAAAGAAAATGAAAATAACACTGGCATCTCAGATATATTTACCAAAATTACACAAAAACATCTTGAAATACAAAAGAATAACTTTATTAAATAAAATTGCCATTGGCTTCAATCATGGCCTTCCGACGACTTCGGAATCCCCTGCAATTCTAATAGACGGTCTCCTTGGTTAAGTTGCTAAATACTGTCATAATCCTTGCCTTCAGTTCATCTTCAGTGTTACAAGGAGTTTTGTTGCCCTCTCAATCAACTGCACTCCACACAAAAGGGGTTTGCAGTCTTGGGAGTTAGGAAGGAGTTTTGTTTCTCTTTCACTCAACTCCACTCCACACAGATGGGATTTGCAGTCTAGAGAGTTAGCCAGTTCTAAGGGGTGATTTCGTCGCAGAAATTTTCTGACAGCCATGATTGGGTTCTCCCGCTTGTGTGGCATGGTGCAGAGTCCTGTTGCCAGACATAGAATCTTCCATCAGCCACTTTCTTGACCCAGGGCAGCACTATCTGCACTTGATGTAGGCCTCCCTGTTGAGTCTGAGAACCTCATCAACAAATTCAAGAGTTCTTTTCTTATCAGAACGATCAGAGTTTTCCGATCTGCTGTACCATGATCACCATCTAACTGCATCCGAATCCTCTGTACTGTCCGCAGATTGATATCCAAGCACTCTGAAATGTCAATATTGGAGCTTCTGGTGTGAATGTCAACCAGTACAGCATGGCGTTTTCAAATATTTAGAAGAGTGAATTGCATTATGATGCTCTTTTTCTCAAAGATGGTGCCCAACTGACCCTACTATACTGTGCTGTCGACAAAATCAAAAACAAGCAACACACTTGTGCGAAATTAAAACAAATATAAAATGGCGACAAATTACACATCACAATCTGTACATACAGGGGTTGGACAAAACAATTGGAACACTTGTTAAATTCAAAGAAAATTTATTTAATAAGGAGTTTGTCCTCCTTTAGCCTCACAGACAGCTTTAATACGTTTAGAAATGGAATCATACAGCTTCCTGACTTCATCCAGAGGAATTTTCAGTCATTCTTCTATTAAAACCTTCACCAGCTTTTTACGACACGACGGTGAAAGATAGCGGCCACTGACTTGTTGCTCCAAAATGCACCACAAATGTTCAATAATATTGATATCTTGAGATTGGGGAGGCCAATCCATGTGTTCTAGCTCACTTTTATGCTCTTCGTGCCAATTCTTAATCTCTCGAGCGGTATATATTGGAGCATTATCGTCTTGGGAGATGAAGTCACCATCAGGGAATAAAGTCTTGGCCTTTGGATGAACATGATCTCCCAAAATGTTCAGGTAACTTTTGCTGTTAATTCTATCATGCAGGGCAACTATTGGGCTGAGACATTTCCATGATATGGCGGCCCAAACTATCACTGATCCACCTCCATACTTCACTGTTGGAAGAAGGCAGTCAGGATTGTAAGCTTCTTTGGGCTGCCTCCACACATAAACTCGCCCTGAATTTGGGAAAAGAGAAAAACTGGACTTGTTTGAGAATAGGACTTGCTTCCATTGGTCTGAAGACCAGGCATTGTGATCTCTGCACCACTTCAACCTCTTTTGAATGTTGCGAGTGGAGAGAAGAGGTTTCCTCACAGCGGCTCTTCCATGATATGCAGCCTTATGGAGCTCACGGTGAACAGTTTTAGCAGAAGCTGAACTATTCAGATGGTTATTCAACTCAGCAGTCACTTTGGCCGCATTTGTCCGATGATTTTTTTGACACATTGCGTTTCAATGCACATCAGTCCCTGTCAGTAAGTTTGCAAGTCCGACCCGAATTGCTACTATTACTAGAGGTTTTACCCTGTTTCTCGAATTGCATCAGTGTTCTTGATATGGTAGCTCTTGAAAAACCAAACAGTTCAGCAACCTTAGTGATCGAGGCTCCTACCATGCGCGCTCCAACTATTTGCTCTTTTTCGAACCGGGCAGGTCATGTATTTAGCTTAAATTTTACTAAATTCTAAAAATAAATAAGACAAAGACAGTAAATTAGATAAATAAACGTATTTACAATAGATATAACCTGCAATTACGAAGTTTTTAAGTTCTTAATATAATAGGTCTTTGAAATATAGGAGTGGATTTTGCAACTGTTCCAATTTTGTCCAACCCCTGTATATATATGTTTATATCTATATTCATTTGTTCTTACGCTCAAAGAGTGTGTGTGTGTGTTTGAAAGAGAGAGAGTGTGTGTGAGAGAGAGAGAGAGAAATAGAGAGAGAGAAAGAGAGAAAACAATAAAACCCAAAGAATTGGACTCAATAAATGGATAACGGCTCGAATTGAGGAATTGGAGAACCGAGTTCGAAATCCAGTCGAATCTATTACATTCACTTATGTGCTAATACTCTTTGGAAAGGTATGAATACTTTTCTTCTTCCCCCAGCTATGGGTAAATAGCAACACAAACCGGGTTCTGTAGTCTTTGGTGGCAACTGGTCTACCGAAGAAAGAAATGGCAACATACTGCGGGAAAAAGGTGCCTCGTCAGTCATGTATGTAAAGGTACATGATCGCCTAAGCGTGTATCAAACATGGCACATAACTGACTGAATAAAATTGATTACGCTAATGTTAATATGTGAGCAAACGAAGAGGTGAAGGAAAGAAGTTGTATCAGGTCAAGCTTTCATGACGGTCGGCTTGAAAATCAATGAAACTTGGAATTAATCTAAGTTGGACACATTAATAATAATGATATTTATGAAGAAACATTCGGCATTTATTGACTGATTAGTCGGTGCTACTTTCGGCTGAAATTTCTAAAATTAATCAGGAAAGTAGGCTTCTCAAATCCAGTAATTGTTATCGCTTCTTTAAGTATTAATGGGGATTTCTTCCTAAATAGTTGTTCGAAGTTGTATGAAGCCTCAGTTTTTTATGTCATAATTGTAGCATGTGATATCCATTTTAGTTGTTGCAACTGTTTAAAGTCCTTAGATGATCTGCTTTCTATGACCTGGCACAGTTCTTTCTGATTCCGTAGCGCCTGTCCAAAAAATTCGAATATATTCTTCACTCGTTTTAATCATTGATCTGAGAAAATGTTTGCACACAGCTGACAGCCAAGATATTTCTGAATATGAAAGTCTCTATCGGAGGAAACTGATTAAAACGTGACTTGATTTTTAATTTAAAGTTTGGGTTTTGCATCAGTTTTGAAGTTACCTTAGTATGCCATCTAGAAAAACACGAAAAAAAACATTTCAGCTGTGAAATCGTCATGTCATATTAATTTGCTCACATAAATTTTTGTTGTATTTTGCGTATGTATTTTTTCGTTTAGGAATTGTCATTATACTTTGATTTATTCAAAATTATTTACTTCGTTATAACGACGATATTTTGGCCGTAATCCCCAGGCCATCTTCAAGGCTTAATCTTATTTAAGATTGTTGATTCTAGCGAATATCTTGTATTATTTGATTAATACTAAACCAAGATATAAAAATCGTGTTCTATTATACTATCAATTCTCAGACAGAATTTTCCAAGTTAAGCTGAAAGGAAAATATACCAATTATAGCTGGAGGCTCGATGGAGTAATTGATATCGGCTCGGATTGATGAATCAGAGAGCCGAGTTTGAATTCCAGTCGATTCCATTACATTCACTTACATGCTAATACCCTTGGGAAAGGTATAAACAGGACAGACCAGGTTCTATAGCCTTGGATGGCAACTGGTCTACCGCAGAAAGAAATGACAACTCACTGCGGGGAAAAAAATTATCACGTCTGTCATGTATGGAAAGATACAAGATCGCCACGGCACATAAATGACTGATAGTTGCAGACATACTTACAGCACAAAGAACGGAGGAAGAAATTGATAAGTTTTATAGCGCAATTGGTAACGCCAATATTCAATCATGGAAACCTGAATACCAAAGTTGGGAACGAACGAGGCAGTGGAATAATTGCAAATCCAGGAGAAGACGTGTAGAATCGGATTGACTAAAAAATAAAATATTCAGGAATGTAGGTTTACACTGTAAAATGTAACCAAGAACTGACTGTAGGGGTGATAACTTTTCAGTCATATGCACACTCAGAATAAAATTACGAAAAGTTAAGAAAAATACCTGAATCTTCATACCTCTATTCTCTTCTCTTACCTCTACGACGCGCGCCAGACGCCGGCGACGACGCCGGGACGTTCCGATTGGCGCACATCTCAACTTCAGCTGCTCGCTAGAAAACCAGTAATTGCCTGACTCCTCATGCTATCCTCTGCTTTTGTAGGAGCTAGATCAGACCAAAAAGTCCTGTTCCACGATCATCACTTTCCAGTCTTGATAGAGTTCAAAAGCCTCTCCGAATCCTTGTTGGAGAAGTATTATTTTCCACCCTCCAACCTCCCTCTAGCAGATGAGATGTGGCGACTTCCATGGAAAGTGCTCGGGCGAACTGCATTCCTTGGTTGTGTCAAGTCTAACCTTCACGGCTAGGACCAGACACTCCCCTTCCGTATTCCATCATCGAGAACTTCCACTCAAAAAGCTACTACCCGCGAACCACTGCCCTACGCAACTGAATCCAAAGTAGATGTTTCCTCGATGACTACAATATTAACTTGTTTAAGTCTAGAGTTAAAAGTTATGTTCCACTCCTATCCATAGAAACTACCCCTTAACGTGAACCTCTACTTCGAGAGGTTCCCGGGCTTTGTACAGAGTGAATCTTGCCGAAAAAAAAATCCCAGAAGACAAAAACAATACAACGCCTAAAGTACAAGAAAACAAAATTCCGAATGACCTTTATTATAAAGAGAAGTAAGATGATAAGAGTTAAAGGCAAATATAATAACTTGGATGAGACTGGACATTCAAAGTAGAACATATCAAGAGAAGCTCTACTGATAAATCTACGAACAAGATAATCCTAAGGAAAACGAGACAAGAGAAAAACG